AAGGAAGGAAGGAAGGAAGGAAGGAAGGAAGGAAGGAAGGAAGGAAGGAAGGAAGGAAGGAAGGAATGACCATGGTGGCACAGTGGTTACAATGCATCATTGCAGGCTAACTCTGCCAACTGCCAGCAGTTCGATCCTGAATGGCTCAAGGTTAATTCAACCTTCCATCCTTCCAAGGCGGGTAAAATGAGGACCAAGATTGTTGTGGGGACAATATGCCTGACTCTGTAAACAGTTTAGAGAGGTCTGTAAAGCACTGTGAAGCGGTATATAAGTCTAAGGGCTAAGTGTTATTGCTCTTCCCTGGTCCTTGCATTTTAAGTCTTTGGGATGCTCGGGCATAGTGCCTCCCCTCCTTTGAGCCCACCTGGATCTGCTATGCCAATTTCCAAGCACTGCATCTTTTACCGACAGCATCTCGCTTTCTCTCTCGGTTTGCTCCTTCTCATGTGTGCTTAGGGAGAACCATAGTGAGATCGAGAGACGCAGGAGGAACAAGATGACCCAGTACATCACCGAGCTCTCTGACATGGTGCCCACCTGCAGCGCCTTGGCGCGCAAACCCGACAAGCTGACCATCCTACGCATGGCAGTGTCTCACATGAAGTCCATGAGGGGCACTGGGAACAAATCTACCGATGGAGCATATAAGCCTTCTTTCCTAACCGAGCAGGTGGGTGGCTTTGTACAAGGCTGCAGAGCAAACTTGAGGATCTTGCAGGGGTTGGAGAAACCAGGAGGACATTTTTGACATATTACAGGGAGGCTGGATTGCAGCTAGCCCTAGTGGAAATTTCTTCCGTCTTGTCTTTAGATTGTTCCCCTTCAGTTTGAACGGCAGGGGTTTCTTCCCAAGGGAGGATAGCTTCTTCTTTTTTTATAATGAGGATGGTGGGGTTTGGGGGGTGGGTTGGTTTCTTGCATACAAGGTGGTTGAAAGGTGGCGAGTGAATGTCCTGTCTTTCCTAGTGCAGTCTGCTTTCTGGAAGCGATCACTCATCCCAGGTAAAAACAGATGGAAGACAACAACAGGATTGTTATCTTAAGCAGAGGTTGTAAACAGATGTTTACTGGGACAGCTGTAGGAACAGGGTCTTGCAAGTCTGTGTGTGGTTTCCTCCTCCCTCGTTTTGACTGCTAGTGAACGAGAGAGGGGCTTCCCTGAGATGTTTTCTCCAGTTACTTTCTTGGAATGGGCTCAAGCCCCGTTTATCTAATCATTGCCTTGGGAGCGGCTCTTCCGCCTTCTCACCCACCCTTCCATTCATTCCCAAGGAAGAGTTCACAATTGAAAGACAAGGCAATCATGGGGGCTGCAGAAACCTCCTTTATATTCCTGAAGGTCTCCCATCTAGACAGGTTCTTCCCTGCTCGTTATTAGCCCATTTAAAGATGGGACATTTGATTAAAAGCACTTTCTTTGCTCATACCATGTTTCCCTGAAAATAAGACAGGGTCTTATTTTTTGACCCCTGAAATAAGCGCTTGGCCTTATTTTCAGGGAGGTCTTATTATTTTGGAGGTGCAGGAGGCCCCTTAACCTTGGCCCACGGCTTAGCTGATCCAGAGCGGGCCAGAAGTTCTGTCTCTGTTTCTGGCACACTCTTGCCAACCCTAATATCGCTGGGCCTGTTGCTCTTTTTGTGGCTGCCACTAAGAGAAGAGGCATGGTAGCTAGGGTTCGTAGGAGTGGCCTCCAAGAGGCCATTCTGCATGGATGGCAGGCGCATGTGGGGGTGTGTGGGGTGTTCGCCCCAGGAAGTGGTGGGGACTGGCTGTGCATGCATTTAAATATTTTAGGGGAGGGCTTATTATCCGGGGAAGTCTTATTTTCAGGGAGGTCTTATTATTTTGGAGGTGCAGGAGGCCCCTTAACCTCGGGCCACGGCTCAGCTGATCCAGAGAGGGGCAGAAGTTCTGTCTCTGTTTCTGGCACACTCTTGCCAGCCCTAGCGTTGCTTGGCCTGCTGCGTCTTTTGTGGCCGCCACTAAGAGAAGGGGCGCGGGAGCTAGTGTTTGCAGGAGCAGCCTCCATGAGACCTTTCTGCATGGATGGCAGGCGCATGTGGGGGTGTGTGGGGTGTTCTCCCCAGGAAGTGGTGGGGACTGGCTGTGCATGCATTTAAATATTTTAGGGGAGGGCTTATTATCCGGGGAAGTCTTATTTTCAGGGAAATAGGGAAGTGTCCTAGAAACCTCCACTGTCTGCTTCTCAACGGTCAACCTCATAACATAACGGAGCTATAATAAATGTGTTCTCAGGCTATCTGAACCCCAGAAGATGTAAATCTCATTCTTAACAACCACACATAGCTTCACTTGATTGCTAAGCATGAACTCAGCTGAAATGACATAAT